AAAAAAAAAAAAAAAAAAAAAAAAAAAAAAAAAAAAAGAAAATCAGACCTTGAAGAAGTAAGTGACTTCTTAAAAGAATTAGAATTGTGAGCATGTGGGCACTCTTTTGCAGCAGATGGTGCCACCTGCCCCAGACACTCTTTCCAGGGCTGGTGATGAGAAAAGTCAGGAGGCAGGAAGTGTAGTTTTACAAAATTACCCAAGTACCCTAGAGAATAGGGAATTTGTGTGAATGAGCACACTTAACTCCCTTAATGCTGATCTACAGGCATGCTCTAAGCAGCAAGATAATAACAGAAAGACTTTGAGTCAAATCCAAGTTAAACGGCAGCAGAATTAATGTGAAATTTTCTACTTAGAAATTACTACAGAGAAGTTACTTGGGTATAATGCTGCCACTGTTGACAAAAAGCAGGTAGAAACTTTTATAGACTCACTTTAATGCAGTAGGAGATGCAGTTGTCTTCATAATGCTTGCAGCATCTGTGCCTTGGTCCATGCTTGCATCTGAAATCAATCAAGAAAGGCAACACTAATTATAACTATGCATGTGTGCATATGTACGAACAGGCTGGGGTGCCTGTGCCTGTGCAAGCACATATGCATGTCCTGCACGAGTGTGTTGTAAACCTATTTAACAGTTTTTTCAGCAACAAGGGAGAAAAATAACACACTTTCCCCCCTAAGTGGTTAAAATGTATTTTAAAAATGATCTACAATAGAAAAGCTAAAAGACTGTTGTTTTTATTTTGTCACTAACACCTTGTATAAGACATATGATCACAGTTACAATGACCGATTGTGGAAAAGAAAGATGATACTGGCAATTACTTGTGACTGAATATGAAAACTATACCTACACTCTCTATATACATCACCAAATTTTAGGGGCTTTAAATCTCTTGTTGCATAGTATGATGATTATAAATCATCCATGAAGTCAGTACTTGAACAAAATCATAATGAGAATGTGTTCAGGTTACAGGAATTTATACTTAATTATATTTGAGAGGAAACATCTGGAAAAGAAACCCGATAAAGTGTCAGAATTCAAAATTCAGTTATTAAAATAAATACAGAAATAGGAATCATGTGGAAACTAAGAGGTTACTTGTGATTTAACTGTAAGCCACTTAGTCTGGTGTTTCATATAAACATTTCTGCCAGGACTACTGTTCCTGTGTGACTCTGAATCCATGACCCCTCATTCATCCTCAGCATAAAAATGTAAGTCAATGAACATGCATCTCAGTAGCTCTCGTTTTCTCTGAAGGGCTCAGGTTCCAAAGTCTGCAGTCACTGTGACTTCGCTCAGGCTGGTTAACTGTTTCTGCAATCGGAGCACATAAACTTTCCCTGGGTATAAAGGTAGCCTGATAGAGCAATGCTCTGTCTCTCTCCAACCCTGTGCTAACTCTAGCAAAACCTTTCAGAAATCAGTTTCTGATTTCTGAAACCGCAGATAGATTACACAGGCAGCCTCTCCTGGCCAAAGGCGAGGGCACCAACACATTCTGACCTCAGCATCTTACGTCATGGGAATGATATGCCGTATACGTGGCCATGTGGAAGTGCTGAGTGATTAAAGCTGAAAGCTTGAAGAGAGGGGAACTAGAGAGGTCTGCCTTATGCAAACCATCGCTCTTCATACTTCTCAAAGTCCTCTTCAAAGACAGGACAGATTTTCCTACTAGAACTCCTTTAGTAGCAAAGTTAAGTACCGAAATCATCAATACAGTCATGTAATCTTTCCTTGGTCACCAGAATGGCTCCCAGTGTCCTAGAAGGTCAAACTTTTATCACTGCTTCTATAAAATTCTGTGAATAGCTCCACCTGAGTAGATTGACTGCAGCTGCCTAGACAATGGCTGTCATCTCCCAATCAACGCTGATCCCAGGAACCATGCACCCTCATCTGCTCACCATGTCCCCCCTGTCTACTGTTGCAGTTACTTCGCTGGCTGAATCGGTGTTTACCCCACAAGCCATGCACCTCTGTCCATTCATGATCTCCTGTTATTACCCTCTCAATTACTTCACTTAAGGGGAAACTTCTCTTCATTCAGGTAACCCAAACCTATTTTTGTATTTGCTTAAAATGAAATGCCACACCTGTTTCTGCCCTCTACACTTCCTTTGTTCCCATGTTCTACTTGCAGTATAGACTAAAAGGAAAACAAAAAAATGAACTTGGCAAAAATGTGACCATCATCTATGGCCACTCAGTCCAGCAGACAATTCCACAACTGTAATTTCATTTACTGCCAACCCCCAGGCTATAGATAAGGATTTTATGAAGAACAGTATTTTAATCATTTGTGCAACAACACAGAGCTGATAGAGGCAAATTAAGAGTCAAAGGCAAGCTTTCTGAATTCTTCCTACAAATGATCCCATTTCTCTCAGTGTTGTCTACTCATTCCATTCTCTCTAACATATCACTACCATGACTGTTTCACTGGCTGATGTCATAAGTTTAAACCACTGAAGACCAACAGAGCCAACTAGCTAGGACTCAGAGGGCCTGGCAGAGACTGAAGAACCAACCAAGGACCTTGCATGAACTGGACTTAGGCCCCTCACATACATGTGGCCAATGAGCAGCTCAAGCTTCACGTGGGTTCCCTAGTAAGGAGAGCAGAAACTGTCTCACATGGACTCTGCTGTCTGATTTTGATCACTTCCCCCTACTGGGGCTGCCTCGCCAGCTTCAGGGGAAGAGGATGCACTAAGTCCTGAAGTAACTTGACTGAGGTGCTGAGGTGGGTGGGTGAGTGGGGAAGGGGAAAAGAGGGAGGGGGAGTGGGATAGAGAGGGGAGGAGGGAAGGCTAGGATACAGATGTAAAGTAAATAAATTAATTAAAATATGTATTTTATTAAATGTCTACGCTAAAATAAAAATGAATATGCAAAATGTAAAGATTTATTTTTCTGTATAACATACAAATAAATAATTCAGCCAGAGTCCTAAATATTGTCACTGCTGGAAAATATCCTTTACTGAAAGTTTGCTCCTACTCCTGTAGCATCTTGATTCCCTCAGCGATTGTACTCTTTTCCACAGTCTGACACAGCTACTAAGGACAAACTAATGCTTCTACACTCCTTCCTCATAACCACCTTAACTCTGTTTAGAATAAACAAAAAAAAAAATGATTCTAATTCCACAAAACCTACTTTAAAGGCATGTAATGATGCACCATCCAGGGAGAAAGAAAGAGCCACATTCCCTTGCCAGCATGCACATTCTATAAACTCTAGATAGAGTTGTTGCTGGGATCAAAGAGTAACATCATTTATCTGAGGAGGAAAAACATGCCTGAGCATGCATAGAGCCCACAGGAGACAGGGACTAAGTGTGACACACGGGACAGAGCACTCACATGGAGTCCACAAGCGTCCTGACCAGAGCGACTATGCTCATTCCTCTTGGCTTTCCTCTGTGCGTCTCCCTCTTCTGCTCCACTTTCGCATATGCTGTCTCGGGTGAGTAAGAGTGTGTGGGGATTTCTTCCTTCCCTACAATAAACCTGAAGGCAAGAGCACAAAGTCAGTCATTTTCACCCTTCACTTTTTTCAGTAGGGAAAAAAAAATCTGTTTAAATACAAATAGGTTAATTTCTTAGTTAAAATAGTTATTTTCACAACTTAAATGAAGTAATATACTCTAAAAAAGATTTAATTTTTTTTAAATTTCCTTGGCTTGCTGATATTTTTAAATCAAATTAACCAGTTACAATATACTGCAGAACTTCTATGAGGCAGTCATTAACTTAGGACATTTTTAAGGTATTACATACTTAAGATTTTTTAAGAGAAACAGGTCAATTTGGATCCAGAGATCAATCTTAATTACAATTGATTTAGTTTCTCATTCAGAGTAAAACTGTGTTTATACCTGATGGCCGTTAGGTTCAGAGTGGGCTCCCACACCCCAAATGAAGGGCTCAGTTCGGGTTGGCTCCCACTAGGCAAACAGACGGTTTGCTAGTGGATAAACAGAAGCTCACACTGGGCATTCCTCAGACACTTGCAAAGCCATGAGTTTCTGTCTGCCAGGAAGAGGCACCACTTCCCTTATCGCACCTGCGCTCCAGCAAAGGGTCATCCAGTTCCGTATCAGCACATATCCAGAACAGCTATCAAAGGTCCTGGCTCTTCCAGCCTACAAACTTTACCCACTGCTACTCCAAACTTCCAGGCTGTTCCAGCTTACAGACTCCCTCCCAACAACTACTTGTCCCTGTAAAACTAGCAAGGCTTTCCCACAGTGTGTTAGTCTCTCTACAACCCAGGAGATAGCCATAGTAGCTTTGAATCGCCCCAAATAAGCCTTTCTTTCCACGCATGGGGTGATCTAATTCTGTGGCTTCATAGCACCCTTGCTTACAGAGGCAACTTCACTGATAAGCAGTGGCATTAGGTAGAGTCACTTACACACGAAAGGGCTTTAGGTCCCCAGGAAAACAGTGGTAACTAAAGAATAGAAGTATCTAAAAATACCTACCCTCATATTTCCTTAGAAAATTTAAACTCTATTATTGCTGTTATTATTATTCCAATACACTCATTTTCCTTTGGAGAAATCAAACACATATAGGAGATGACCACTTGTCAAAACAGTGCAATTGAAAATGTTCCTACTATCAGAGAACACCGAGGAAGTGAGCCGTCTCGGAACCTGCACAGCTGTTTCTAACTCCACGAAAGAGTCATTGCTGATACAAAGAATAGCTGATATTTCTGAAGGAAATACCCTTCAAAACTTTCAGAAAGTCTACTCAAAGTATCAATTTAAAGAGGATCAGTATTATTCCACTAACATTCCGGAACTGAGACCGTGACAAACAAAATATGAAAGCTTAAGTACTCGGAAAAGAAAACCAAAATACTGTTAGAACCAACCACTGACTGACTCATCCCGGTCTGGCTAGGTCAGTAAAACACTCAGCTTTCCCAATCAAACCGGGTGGACAAAGAGCTTTTCTGCCAGAACACGGCAGCTGAGAGCTGTGGGTGCTGTTACTACTAAAGAATCTGTTCAAATATTTGTGATTGTGCCTGGAGAGTTTAAGATCTGCACTCAGTTCCATACAAGTTTCCAGATAAAATTAGGAAGACAGTCTCTCTACTGCTTTTTGGAGCCTACTGCTCTTTTGGCCAGTGTGGATGATCTCACAGTACAGGACACACCTTGGAGAAGCTGTTCTTGCCCTCCATTCTGGTCAGGGCAGGCCCTTTACTTCTGGCCTTGTGAGCCTCATGCACACCCAACAATGGAAGCACCACTTTAGAAGTATGCAACGCTAGCTCAACAGTGGGGACTGTGAAACTATGTTCATTTTCTTTGCTACTGTATGACAAGGTCTAGCAGGTCTGTGACATTTGACACTGCAAAAATTTAATTAAAATACTGAATGAATGAATGAATGAATGAATGAATGAATGAATGAATGAATGAGGCAATAACATGTGTGTTCTAAGGACCTGTTCCATGACAGGCACAGTGCCAACAAGCATTTTACAAATGTCATATCACTTCATCCCACAGAAACACTACAGGTACCATACTTCCCATGAGTTAGCATGAGTGACCCCCTCTGCACAGAAGCCGCCCTGTCAGCAACCCCTAATACAGAACTCTATCTGTCCAGAGCAGCAGTTCTCAACCCGGGGGTTGTGACCCCATTGGGAAGCACATATCAGATGTCCTGCACACCAGATATTTATACTACAATTCATAGCAGTAGCAAATTTGCAGTTATGAAGTAGCAATAAAATAGTTTTATGGGTGGTCTCACCACAGCATCAGGAAGGGTGAGAACCACTGGCCTAGAGTTTGGTGTCTTAATCACCGAGCCATGCCCCTTTAAACACCTGCACTGGCTCTTCCCCCACTGTCCTTCCCCCGGCCATTAGCTCTTCCAGTGCCTTCTACTCCTATCTGCATAGACAGATAATTTCTCCATAGACTTTCCAGAGGAAGTCTCCCAAAGTGCAGATCAGAACTTGGTATTCTCACCCTCAGAGAACTTCACCAGCTTATCACCTACCGAGGCAAGTGCAAACTTAAGCCACGTTAAGTTTGGTGCCCACGTTTACCATGTGACCAGACCACTGCTGACTTCAGTGGACTGAGAGACTGGTCCCCAGAGGTAAGCCAATGCCTTACTGCTGTTCTTTCGTCTGCAGCATTCCTCCCCACATGTTTATTAAATATTTTCTGCCTTTTAAAAGTTAGCTTTCTTTCTGTACTGTCAACCATTCTTCTTTCATAAGGGAAAAAAATCATCAGTGAAATGTATAACACTTAATTTGTTCTATTACAGCAGATGGCTTTTTTTTATGCCTGATAAAGATTCTTCGCAGTTTCTCTGCCTTCTTCTCTGTCTTTTTTTTTTTTTTTTTTTTTTTTTTTTTTTTTTTTTTTTTTTTTTCCCTATACACAACTTGGAAAACAAAACAGTTAGTTCTGGCTGAAATACAGAGCTGAAAAATCCAGTCCTTCCTTTGTAATATCAGCACAATTTCAATTAATATCGTCCTTTCTGCAGTCTCTGAAGGCAGAGGTATATCTGACTCACTCATCAGTACATTCTCAACACAGTACACATCTGGAGACAGAGTAAAAACAACCAAATAAATAGTGAAGGGATGTTATCTTTATAGCTCATGTACTCTTTTACAGGCAGGAAGCCTTAAACATGGGTGCTGAATTAGCGTAAAGTTTTATATTCTAAAGCTTTTTGCTTATGTCTACCCAGGAGACATTAATCTTGGCTGCTTTATGAATGGTTGTACTAGATGAAGGGGACTTTTCCTCTATGGGACAGTATGTGTTTTCATAATAGAGTAATTACAAACTGTAGAGGATAAGCACTTCCTTCAAGCCTGATGCTGACAGCATCCATTTGCATCCATCTAAGTTGAAGCGTGGCCAGCACCCTCAAACCCATTAGGCATCGAATATCCTTCTCTCATAAAGCTTAACACTGCCAGGAAGTCATACTTACTAAGTCTGGACACCACAAGTACTTTTCTGCCCCTCCCTTCTGTAATTAATGTTAAATGTTGTGGATTTTGACAGGCTATAAATTCATTGTATGTGTCTGTAACAAAAATCAGACAGGCAACAATGGAGAGATGAAGACTAGAAAATCGTGCCAAGCATTACTAAGGAAATCTCCAAGAACAATGTACATTAACCCATTATTATTATTATTTTTTTTTACAATGAATCTTGACAATAAAAATAGAATCTAGCCTTTGGTGCTAGAATTCTCTACCATCTTTTAATCTCTGAGAGTAACCAATGGGCAATACAGGCAATCTAAGATGAAATCCAGCCTGCTGAGTAGAAATATACGTACCATATAAATGCAACAATTTTCAATACTGAACACTTTTCTTTAACAAGAGTACTTGTAACAATGAACTTTCTTCTAAAGTATTGTCATGTAACACAGAAAAAGTTCATTGTAAACATCCCAGACTAACTCCTGATTCAAAGTACCTGTGAGGAGATATAAAAAATTTCTGAAATGTCTCAGATTTTCCAAGGATTTGGGGAATCTTAGGAAAATGAGGCAGTTTTCTCTTAAGAAAAATCATCTTTTGGTTTTGTTCTCTACTTCCAGTTTAAAAAGTACTCTTTATCATTATTTAATATAAAGGCAAAAAAAAGCTATTTTCATATGTATTTCTTAATGAAAAATACAAAGTTAAAAAGTACACATGTGTCCTGGCTTCAGAAGTCTAGTTATCATGGTTTTATCAGCACAGCTTTTGCTCTCCTACTCTCTCCATACCCCTGGGGATTGCACCCAGGACCTCAGATGCTCCTGGCAGGTGCTCCACCACTAAACCCTGAAACACTCACAACCACACACTGTCCTGCCACGCTGGCTAATCTGTGGGCGCATGTCAACCTCCTCTGCACACTCAGCTTTCAGTGCTCGGCGGCTGGGAGGCAGGTTGTAAAAGATGGAAAACACCATCTACTCATCTTTATCTTCTTCCATTTTCCTCTCAAATCGTCTCATTATCCCACAACCACAGTACTTAGCTTCCTACCCATAGCATTCTGTCATCCAATGTCCCAAATTTCCACTGGACTCACCCTTCAAAGTCACTGTGAACCATCTCCCTCAAACACCTTTCTCTGACTCTCTACCTGCTTATTAAATCCAGATCAGTCACTCCCGAGCCTTAGATCTTTGGCACTCTGACATCACCTGCCAAAACCTCCTTTATATGCCACAATAGACATTTTACATTGCAATGCTTCCTTTAATAATACGTATTTTATATACTTTTTACATTTACAACCAGCATGGGTTGTAATGCTTGACATAACATTAGTGCATCAAAGAATGCTAAATTATACTCAACCAAATACTGGATACCTTACCATTACTCAGTGGCACTAAATGCATTCACCTGTGAAATCGCTCACAGGGTATTCCATGCCCACAGATGACTTATCGTCTCCAAGTGAATCTCACCCAAAGCCACTAAAGTACCAATCCTTCTTCCAAATACCTGGTCACTGCCCATACAGATCTACAATGGTTTGTGATAATTTCAGTGCTTCAGAATATGTGCATCTACATTTTGATTCACTTTTAAAATTAATTTCAGCATTTTTATTCACCTCTATGAACAGTGCTCTTCTTCATTCTTCCTAATCTAACACCATGCCTCAAATGCACATCCCCTGAAAGATGCAAAGACAGCATCTAAGTGCTCACTGTGAACTGTGAGCCCTGCACTAGAGCACCTACTGTGCAAGCTCCTCAGAATAAGCACGTAAAACCTGCCCTGAGGCACACACCAACTTTTCTAATACTTTCAGTGAATTCCATGCTACCAAACTTCACTAGGCAAGTACTCTATCAACACTAAAAAGTAAAATAGGTAATGCTTGTGACATGAACTAAGAAAATGTGGGGTTCAGATTAGTAGTTACAGTGAGATATTAGGGAAACATTCCATTCAACACATGACAAACCAACCTTGCAGAACAGTTGCAAATAAAACTGTCTACTTTATGAAGATGCTTTAAGCTATAAAATGCAATAATGGTGATAAGTAGCACTTACACAGTATATATAATAAGCCAGTTGCTATACTGGGAGATGAAAAAATCAAACACTCTAGAAACACTTAAGGCCTACTGTGCTTCACAGTCTGTAAGTCCCACCCATAACTCAGTTTAAGAAATTACTCCATAAACTACCCACAAAGGCAGAGAATACTATTATGACTTTTAAAACTTATCAGATTAAAAATTACATTAATAAATCTTTATTATAATTATATACATTCATTATTTTTGAAGGTTAAGTTGTAACTTCTCTCAACACAAAGACAGATTTACTTACCTAAGTGCAGAAAACGTAAAGCCTTTCAAACCATCTTTGCACCTAAAACAAAAATTTGCAATCATAAAATGATATGTTTTGGAATATAAGGTAAATATATTAAAAAGCTTTTTTTTCCTAAAAATGGTTAAAATGTAAATTTTTTTGGTAATGACATAAGCAATGAAATATACAGCCAGTCCCTAACACAAAGCAACTAGTATACTAAAGGTGTCCTATGGCATAGGAACATAATAACTTGGGGCTCAATCCTTAGAGCCAGGGTAGAAGAAACTTAAGTCAATCTTCTAAGAGCGCCATCTGAATCTAAAAGGAGGCTAAAACAATCTTCAGTCTACCTGATCCCTGAGGGATGATTTCCCATGAAGAAAAACATCATATCCACTTTCTTGAGTATCTCACAAATGTCAGCTCCAGGTCCCGACTCATTAATTCAGTGCAACAAGGAGCTGAGCTGAGCAGGCACAGAAAGGCCGCGAGTTCATTCCAACATCTCACAAAACCTCTGGTTAAGGCAAAGCAGCACAAGTAACATGGGGTAGGAACACACTGAGACTGGAAGGAGGAGAATCCAAATAGCATTTCTTGAACATTTATCACTGCCCACAGTTTGGGCCTTTCCTTCATCCATACTTTGTAGGTAGGCTTACATGCATTTGTACTTGCATGCCGGCTCAAGACCTGCCGCAACCTTACCTCATGGAGGTCAAAGGATTAACAGACTAACACGATTCAGAACTCTAGATATGCAGGGGTAGTGGCAGTAGTAATCTGACAAAATTAAGCATTTATCCTGCCCATCCTCCTGTTACTGTATTGTCTTTAACTGGGGAAGATGTAGGCTACGCCAGAATTAAGCTTCTCGGATTAACAGTAAGTATTTAAAATGTACTTCAAGACATTAGTAATACTCAATAGCCCCCTATGCAAAAAGACAATAGCTACAAAGAGCCTTTGGTATAAATATAAAGAGATTTGGGGAAATTGTTATCAATAATTATTATTTCCTTGAAAAAATTTACAAAGATTAGTGACGAAATGATGGTCTCATTTGACCTGAATTTTAAAAGTTTATTTTCAAATATAAGTGGCAAACTCATTCTGCTCATCACTTGTATGATAAGCCATAAAGAGAATAAAAAAAAACAAAAAAAAAAACAAAACCTGACTACTCTAATTTTAAAATATATTTTATTGGGTGTGACCTAGAATCTTAGAAAACAGTTAAGCCATATAAAGATGTTTTAAAACATTTATGGCTTTATTTCAGTTAAGCAGCATAACTGACATAGTGGGCGTGTTGACAATGAGAAATGTAATCATAAGGTTATAGTTAGGTAATACATGACATAAATATCTACACAGAATGAGCATGAAGGCAAAAGAATTTATAAATTAAACTAAAATGTTCTTGGGCAAATTACATTATTAAATTTCTTAAACTTATCTTTCTCCGTCGGAAGAAAGTGTTCCACGGTAATTTAAAACCCGTCATCTAGATTGGTGGCATGGTGAAGGAGTGGGCAAGGGGTCCACTGACTAGGGAAAAGTAAGCTGTAGATCAATTACGAGATTATGTACATCCTGGAACAAACTTCGGCTTTGGGCTGTTACTCTTAAAAGATAGCCATTGTCTTTGTGAGTGCTGAACAGTCAAAAGACTCTGGCAACCCAGTCGAGTCCGTAAGGCATATTTGTGACCCTGCACAATACATTTAATTACAGAGAAAACATCAAAAAATCGCTTTTCAGCAAAAAGTCAGAACATACAAATGAATATGCAATTTTGTTATGATGGAAGTCTGGCTCTTCAGCAGAACCCTGTGGGAAGCACTTCATATTGGTAAAGTTTTAGCACGGGTTCAAAAGGTGCTATTCTTTCTTCTGTTCATGTGTATAAGGACTGTTAAGGTAATTGAGAATCAAGAGAACAGTAACGTAATTACTCTGTAAGAAGAATCTTTAAAATATAGACCCCATTTTGACAATGTATTGTATAGGAGTTTACCTATTTTTGGAACATTACTGAAATCTATGTTAAATTTGGAAGGCATGACAGACAGGCTCCTCCTTCAACAAGGAGGAGCCCATCAGAAAGGCCTACACTTTGCTGTGGCCTAGGTGATGACAATGCAGACTAAATCCAGTCTCTACTGAAGTATTTATCCATCACATATTGGGTGTCTACTATAGGAACTGGCTTGGGTTTCATTATACAGCCACGGACACAGGAACAACATATTCTCATCTGACATCCACCTTTGGGGACAGATTCAACAAGGACATAAGACACAGAATAACTGCTGTGGCAAAAATCCTGCAGGTGGAGGAGGGAAGAGCTGGTGGAGAGTTAGGCTTTTTTTTTTTTTTTTTTTCACAATGGGTCATGAAGAGACTCTTAAAGAAAGCAAAGGGCAATAATCAGGTCAGAACCTTTAAGGAACAAAAGGGAATTTTGGTTTGAAGCAACAAGTACAGGGCAGGGCTGAGTCCGCACAGCAGTGAGGACAGACTACCGAGGTTCCTAGAATTGAGCACAATAGAATAGGTGAGTGACATCTTGATAGGAAATATGGTCATGGAGGCAAAATGGAGGGAGTTTTCTACTATGCAGGGAGGCAGCTTTAGGCATGGAAGGACTTTGGAAGGTTCTCAGTAGAGGAAGATCTTTCTTAAGTTATAAGAGAATTATTTTAGCTGCTGGGTGGAAAACAGACATTAAGAAGACAAAGTTAGATGTGTGGAGAAGGTGAGCACGCTGGGACAGGGAGAAAAAGAATGTGAATGTATGTCAAAAGTGAGCTGTCAAAATGTCTTGCTAGTTTCAATGTGGCATAAACAAGACAGGGTTCAAAACTTACTGACAGGTCTTTGGTTAAAGCAAAGAGAACACAATGGCCACATACTGACCACGAGCAACTGTATAGGACTAAGGGAAAAAATGAACTTTGGCAATAGTAATCGTGAGATGTGCCTGAGCCGAATGAACAGATCATGAAGGATTCAGGTCCACAAATCATAGAAGATGACTGACTCCTTTAACAGTGGGTAAACCCAGGAAACCAGATACAGCCATAAGTAAGGAAACAAGCACAGATGAAGAAATGTGTCCAGTGTGCACGTACATGTATGATTTACCTGTAAGCTCTAAAAACTCTTATAGAAAAAAAATCCATCAATTTCTTCAAATAACATCACCCTCTAAAATAAAGTCACATTTTCTTTTCAAGTGTCCATAAAGACAATGCATTAACTCATGAATGCCTATACTTGCTAGTTAGTCTGTGCAGATGATACGAACTCTAATCCAACGCCTACTCTACTTTTGCGAGGCTCTGTGCTAATGTAAGCTGTAAAAAGAAAAAGCCAGTAAAGACAGAGGGAAGAGGGGTTTTCAGTCCTGCAGCAAAAGCCTCAGTCAATATATAGCTATTAACAAAGGCTAAGGATGGAACCACACACTGGATCCCAGGTGGCACAGACAAGCCTAATACTTACATTACTGAAATAACATTTGTGATCAGATGTCCAAATTTTGAGTTATATGTATAAGTAATAGTAAAAGAAACAATTCTGCACAGAATGCTTTTTTTTTTTCTCTCTCCCAAGCTTACTTAATTCCCGCGAAATGACTAGAGACGCTGTGATGTTCATTACAAAAGTCCGCCAGCAGATGGCAATAGAGAACCACCCTGGAAGAACTGGAACCCTGCAAGCAACATTTTTGGCGAGCTTTCCTCTAAATATGCATGTTACAGGGAATTCAGAGTGTCACTAACAAAACATTAAAGTTTTGATGTTTCTGTTTCTATTGTTCTGTAACTTCACAAAATTATAAACTATTTAGTACCCTCGTCTTCTTTTTATTCTTTTTTAATTTTTTTTATTAATTACACTTTATTCACTTTGTATCCCCCCATAAGCCCATTCCTCCTCCCCTCCCGACTCCACCCTCCGACCTGCTTCTTCACACATGCCCCTCCTCAAGTCCACTGATACAAGAGGTCCTCCTCTCCTTCCTTCTGATCTTAGTCTATATCAGATCTCATCAGGAGTGGCTGCATTGTCATCTTCTGTGGCCTGGTAAGGCTGTTCCCACCTCAGGGGGAGGTGATCAAAGAGCAGGCCAATCAGATTATGTCAGAGGCAGTCCCTCTTCCCATTACTAGGTAACCCACTTGGACACTGAACTGCCATGGGCTACATCTGTGAAGGGGTTCTAGGTTATCTCCATGCATGGTACTTGGTTGGAGTATGAGTCTCTGGGAAGAACCCTGTGTTCAAATTTCTGGTTCTGTTGCCCTCCTTGTGGAGTTCCTGTCCTCTCCAGATCTTACTGTTTCCCACTTCTTACATAAGATTCCGTGCACACTGCCCAACACTTGGCCATAAGTCTCAGCATCTGCTTTGATAGTCTGCAGGACCTTTCAGAGGCCCTCTGTGGCGGGTTTCTAGCTTGTTTCCTGTTTTCTTCTTCTGATGTCCTTCCTCTTTGCCTTTCAGGATGGGGATTGAGCATTTTAGTCAGGGTCCTCTTTCTTGATTAGTTTCTTTAGATGTACAGATTTTAGTAGGTTTATCCTATATTACATGTCTATATAAGTGAGTATATACCATGTGCGTCTTTCTGCTTCTGGGACAACTCACTCAGGATGATCCTTTCCAGGTCCCACCATTTACCTGCAAATTTCATTATTTCCTTACTGTTCATTGCAGAGTAATACTCCATTGTGTAGATGCAACACAATTTCTGCATCCATTATTCAGTTGAGGGGCATCTGAGCTGTTTCCAGCTTCTGGCTATTACAAATAAGGCTGCTACAAACATGGTTGAGCAAATGTCCTTATTGTGTACTTGAGCCTCTTTTGGATATATGGCTAGAAGTGGTATGGCTGGATCTTGAGGAAGCGCTATTCCTAGTTGTCTGAGAAAGCGCCAGATTGATTTCCAGAATGGTTGTACAAGTTTACATTCCCACCAGCAGTGGAGAAGGGTTCCCCTTTCTCCACAACCTCTCCAGCATGTGTTGTCACTTGAGTTT